AAATCAGTTTTCCTAAAACCCTTTTGAGAAAATATTAGGTAATCGAGTAAATGGGACTAAATACATTAACATTCACTAGGTTCTGCAATGATCCTTGGTCAGTTGTGTAATTTTCATCTACACTTTCTCCCTTATCGTTTTTTTTCCTTGAATAGCTCAAACATGTAAAGCCTATTCTTAACTGAAAAATCTACATGTAAAACCGGTAAATCAACATTCTTTTAAATAATCAAAAGCACTATATACCCTACTTATATAACTATAATCGGTCTAGTGTCTCTTATTTCAGAAAAAGGGGAAGTAGCTCAATAAATGAACGTTATTTTAGCGATATTGAAACAGGTAAACAAAGACACGAGGACTAAAATTAAAGGAATATTGTAATTCTTTCTTTTCTTAACTTTTTTTAAACATATGTCATTTACAAGTATATCGATGTACTATGGATTTATAACAATTAATTTTAAAATATATTGTTACACCGAAACTTTCTGTTTTTAAATAAAAACGCCCAAAGTTTCCAACAAAGTTTATTTTGTATTCCCGTGTAACACTTTACACACAGGACCCGACTGAGTAACTAATTGAACACACAAATTCTACGCTAAATATTAAGAACTGCCCAACCTACAGACTGCCAATCACTGCTAAATTAACCCGTTAATTGTGAACACTATGAATTCTGCATTTTCTCATGGCCAGCACTTCGGACATTCAATCCCCCTGAGACTCGGGTGATAAAAGTCAGCAATGCTGATACAAGAGCTAAATTTCCCAGCCAAATCTTAATGAGCAGTCAAGACCTTATCACATAAACAGATCACTGCAGTCTGTAGCTTAGAGCAATTACTACAAATCAACAAGATTAAGATAATATAAATCAAGCATTAATTATACAAACAATATCACACAAAAATTCACTTTAACATATATACATATAGTTGTGAAATCTTATGATGTAATGAACATGTTTAAATAATGAAGGTTTTGTTCAGTTTAACTATGTACTATGAATGGCTGTTTCTTCTGAGAGAGAAACCGGATAATGCCAGTGGTTTTCCTCCTAAACTCTTGGTGAATTTTAAACACATATAAGTTAAGTAAACAAAAGCGGGACATCGAAATATTATGCCTTTTCTGTCTTAAAAGTGAACTATCAGTAAAGAAAATATATAAATGAAATGTATATAAATTTAAATTTTTTGGTATTTTCATAGCTACAATTAACTATAAAACAAAATCTGATAGGATTTTTAAACCACACACAGAGTGTATTCATGGGCATCTGTCTAACAATAAACCTTTTTTATACCCAATGTCTATTTTGATTCATTACTACATGTACTTGATGCAAAACAACAATAAGGTCTACATAATATTCGCACCAATCTGTATTCCGTCCCACTGAGACTTTTAAATAATATTCTTGAAATGACCATGTCGACACACGAATATATGAGGCTTTAACCTGTGATTATGGATATTACAAATCAGAGGCTTTTTTTAAATCTCCACACTTACTGTAGAAAATGTATTAAAAAAGTTTTTAGACCATTTTATCATTTTGATGTGCGAGCAAAAGTTTTTTGATACTTTGGTACTTTATCTTTTTTCAAAGCCTTTTGAGAACAACCATGCTTTGGGGTTTGAAAGTCACATGCCAGCAAAAGTGGTCATAAGTATCACGGACACGTAGTAAATTTAATTGAGTAAACATGCAGAAATGACGGTAGCGTTTATTTTCTCTGTAAGCCATATGATCGAAATATTTCTTCTCAATGATAACAGGATAAGGCTATTATTTTTTTTAAATCCTACTGACTAATAAGCATATATGTATTGTATTATCTAACCAAAAACAGGAAAGAATACGAGTTTCCTTTTAGGGAACTGATTTCTCAGTAAAGAGGACAGAACTTATATAAGTCTGATCATCTGGGTTTTTATTCAATAGCTAACATTAGCTGCCACCTAACATCTACAAGCCAGTGATTAAATTGAGCCACGCTTTGACACTGTTACCAAGTTAATGCAAAGAGAGGTAAGCATAGGAGTTGAATTAATTTTTCTAAAATGCATTTTTTTTAATTTGGTGGGAGTGTTTATTGTTTACTTTTAAAACTTATTTTAATTAAAAATGATAATATTGCATTTATGTTAATAGAAGAATTTTTTTTTTCAAGTTTGCTGAGAAATGGCATTTTACAAAAGTGAAGTTTCGGTATCCACTTCTGAACCTTCCAAATGGAATTTGTCTCATAGTGATGAAAAAACATAATTGAATAACAATAGCACATTTTGGTACTCAACTTTGTTTCCAAATGACAAAACTCCACAGAGGATCTGGAACGAAACGAAAAATGGTTCTGATGATTATTTAAATTTAACTGATTTTTTTAACATTCATAAAATATTCGATTTATTCAATTCAGCTGCTATTCGTTTGACCTCGGAAGGATTTGAGAAATCAATCGCGGTGTTGAATTTGATAATCGGATTACTGGGTTTTGTAGGAAATATCATCACAATCTTCACAGTTTTATGCTATTAAAAGTTTCATACCCCAACATTCGTTTGTCATAGAGTTTCTTGCTTTCTCTGAAACTCTGAATATCATCATTATTTTTGTGCACAAATTTTCGAATTTCTTATCTTATTTATCAAGATCTTGTGAACAAAACACATATTTGGTATGTTATGTCTGCCTCATTTCTATCTTTAACAGTTATTAATTCTTCAAGTTCACATATGGTGTTCCTATCTATGATCAGATATTTAGTAACAGTGCACCCCCTAGAGAGCAAGATACGGCTTACGGCGTCAATTGCTATAGCATGCTGTGATATGATCTCAGGTTATTCTTTACTGTTTTCGGCTTTCATATTCATGATAATATCAACCAGTGTTAAAAATTTTCCCTATTCTACCGGTATTAGAATCACGAATCTTACAAATATTAAAATCAGTTTTCTTCGGGGGTTGATTTCTCTCTGAGCAATCATTATAATACATATCAAGAAAATGAAAAATCTAAAAAATGCTTCTGTAACAAACATTATTCATAAGAGAATGAATGTTGTTATTTCCATTATTTTATTAATTTTTGTTTCCCATCAAATCTCATTGATGTTTGTTTACATTGCTTATATTTGTCTAGAAAATTTAATTTTTTTTAGATTTCTATTTTTGGGACCATTTGTACATACATGATCAGTATAAATAGACTCGTCGGACTCTTAAATTTCTCTTGTAATTCTTACATACTCTTTTCTGCTTCACAAATGTGTTTTATAAACAGAAATCAGAATCCTAAATGAGATACACAGGTAAATCACTCTCTTTAATTTGATTTTATTGACACGTTGCATGAATTCTATCATCTTCCGATCTGTATTATAATTTAGCAGAGAATTGAAAGGCATCATTTAACCCGCTGGATGTAGATACCTTACATATAGACATACTGTTTAATTTAAATATAGAAATATTGACATTGAACTTCCCCTTCTAGACAACAAATTTCTCTTTTTTTTTTTTTTTTTTTTTTTGTTCAATGCCAAGAGTTGACACAAAAAAACATGCTTTTGATATACATGTATGTTGGGATTTTTTTTATTTCGTTTTGCTGAGTTTTTTTTATTTACCTTTGTTGTAGTGAAAAATTTTTTTTTTTCTATTATTAAAATATTGACATATTTTGTAAAACCAGTTCGTTTTTATATTCATTTGATATAATGATAATAAAAAAAGTACAATGGTAAATAAAAACTAGTTATTTGTTGAAGAAATGAGGTAAATGAAAAAAATCCTACAGATAAGATTTTTAATATCACAATAAATTACTTCTTGTTATATCTTGGTATTTGACTGAATCAAAAAATCACTCCAATATGTAGAAAAATACTATAATTTTTTATTTTCTTATTTACACACATGTTTGTGAATATCATAGCAACAAACATATATTAGCTTAAAACTCTTGAATTAATATGGGACTATAGAAAAAGCACATATTCCTTAAATTGATATACCTAGTATTTGGGAATAAATGATACACTGTACTTAAAGATAGAGTTTGTATTTTTGCTGACTGCTCAATGTCGCTGAGTGGCGAGTAAAGGTCGAAATTTGAAACCCTTCACCGTTACAATATACTGACACGCAAAAGAAACGCAACAAGCAATAATCTACAATGGGTTGAATTTTTTATCTAATGGTTTTTCAAAAATGAATACAGTAAGATTAAACTCAATTTTCAAAACATCAGAGATTTGATAAAAATGTTCAATAATTATTTTGTAACTTAAGAAAGTAACATATGACTGTTAAAACACCCCCTTCCAGCCATGCAATTAAAACGTGCAAGACTGTCCTACAGAACAACTGCAGTTTAATTTCTACGATACAATAGGTTCATCAATATCTAGATCTGATTGAAGGAATTTTTTTGCCATTTTTAATGCCTGTTTTTCAGGGAAAAGAGTACCAATTATTTTCCCATAGAACTCTATACAAACATTTTGTCCTCTCACTACTATACTAATTTAATTTCAGATAATTCCTTGGCATCGTTTGAAACTTTAATCCAAGCGCTTATAAAAAATCCCGGAAAAAATATAGGGTCCCATGGCGTTTATAGGTCAAAATTGCAGTTCTTTAAAACTTATAGGTATCGGCAGTAAATAACGCTCTGCAAAAAAAATCAACCCCCACTCCTACAATCTCCCCTGGCATTTCTATATTCTCTGTAATATTCCTACATTCCATCATTTATTTCAAATATTAATATTTTTACTTTAAAATGAAAAACAGTACATACCTCATTTCAGCCAATCAGGTAATGCCGACCTATTCAGTACTCGACTCTACATTGTGCCACAAACAACGCCATGTGCTCATCCGGGGATTTGGTACTCTCATTCCTATACTTACATATTTACCTCTCCCAGAATTAGTCAATTTTGTAATTTTCAAAGACTTTATACTTACCAATGAATATGTATAAAATTTTAGGCCTGTCACTTCAGTGTCTTGGAAGCTGTGACAATCTTAATTAATGACACCTCCCTCCATTAAGTAGAATTCCAGGGAGTGAGAAACTGTCATTCCTTTGATGTGACCTGGATACAGTTGTGACTGTAATGAATAAAACATTTATAAATTGCATGATTTTGTTTTTTATTGTCAATAAAATGATATAAAGTCAAAATTGTGTCATTTTTTTCATAAGGGTGGATTCTACCCAGAATTTAAAAAAGGCTCCAAAATTCCATAAAATAGAGCTAATTAAGCAAAATTGAAAGGATTTAAAAAGACTAATTCAGATTTTTTTTTATGTTTATCAAAAGTAAATTATTTGAGACTCTGATATACTAACTGATTCTTATCTAACCCCTCATGTTGCTTAAGTATGTGCAAAAAAGTATCACCACCCCCCAGTGAAAGACACTTAGAGAAATAGCAGGTGCCCCCTATTATATTTGTTTACAATAAATTTAAATGAGAGAAAATCAATCCTTTTGATAATAAATGAAAGTTCAGTATCTACAGTCTTATACAGTACAATCTTAATCTACAGGATGGAGTTTTATGCATAGAAAAGGGGAATTTAGATCAATTTTTCAAAAATAAGAAATGCAATAATTTTGACTTTAAACCCCAAAATGCACAACATAATAAGAGGCTGGAAAGTTAAAAAGTGGAAAATTTACCTGCTATGTACAGAAAACTGTCCGACAAAATATATCGGGTGGGTAGCGAGTCTCCGTCTTCTTCTTGTATCGAGAAAATGCCCCCGCTGAGCAGGTACCCAACTCTCGCGAGGCTGAGGAAGCTGAAAGATGAAAGTCCTCTACGGTGCTTAAAACAAAATAAATCAGAAAAATTAGTCAAATCACATCTTAAGCATTTATTTAACAGCAATATTTTTCAGGTTTTCTAGAAAATAAAAAAATTACACACCTTCTACATTGTTTATTGTTTTAAAAATGTACCCCCAAAGGGTGGGGTACATGTTACACAATATTACATGTAATTACATGTAAATACAAAATGGCCTAATCTTATACATGCATTTTTAAGTCATTCCAATAATTCCTGGAAAAAATCAGAAGTCTAATTTCTCTACAATAAAGATTTTAATATGTTGAAATTCTACATGCCTGGTTTGTAAGTCTAAGGGAAGTAACTCTAATTACAAAAACTGGAAAGTAGTAAAAAATGAGTTGCCGAGGGCTACGCTGATGTAAAAACAAGCAGCAAGAAAGGAAAAATACAGACCTAAGTGTAGCTACACCAAAGAAACAACTTCACTACAAATTCAGTACCCTACAGTCCAAGTAAAGCAATCCAGAGAATCACACGCACTACTAGCCATAAGATGTCAAGAGAGAAAAGTGTGCAACTTTGACATGACCACTATAGAATGCACTTTTTGGGTTCACCAGAACTATTTGAAAAGATACCGTATGCAACCGTTAAAGAAATGAAATGAAATGAACATCAGGTCACATCCCCTACAATGCCATACATGTACATATATAGGCCTATAGAACACAACACATAAATACAAACATGTAAATACATATAATATTAATGTACATGCATATATTTATACAAACTTACTTACACATAAATATTCATCATAAGAGCAATCTGATGCACTTTATTAACTTACTCCCCTCCTCGGACAATATCAAATGCACCACGCTATACTAATATCTACATTCTACTCACTACCCCCCCCCCCCCCTTACCGAGAACAGAATTCCTCCAAAATCTCAACACATGAAAAACAATTCCATTTTTTTTTTGCTATTTACCTCTCAGTGTGTCATCAATATTCGGATTAAGAGCAAAAAATCACTTTTCATGACTTTAAATTCACTTAACATTTTAAAAATTTGGGTCTCTATAGGGAAAAGAGTACCAATTATTTTCCCATAGAACTCTATACAAACATTTTGTCCTCTCACTACTATACTAATTTAATTTCAGATAATTCCTTGGCATCGTTTGAAACTTTAATCCAAGCGCTTATAAAAAATCCCGGAAAAAATATAGGGTCCCATGGCGTTTATAGGTCAAAATTGCAGTTCTTTAAAACTTATAGGTATCGGCAGTAAATAACGCTCTGCAAAAAAAATCAACCCCCACTCCTACAATCTCCCCTGGTATTTCTATATTCTCTGTAATATTCCTACATTCCATCATTTATTTCAAATATTAATATTTTTACTTTAAAATGAAAAACAGTACATACCTCATTTCAGCCAATCAGGTAATGCCGACCTATTCAGTACTCGACTCTACATTGTGCCACAAACAACGCCATGTGCTCATCCGGGGATTTGGTACTCTCATTCCTATTCAGCTAACAAGCCTAGGTCGAATTTTCTCTAACCTAGATCATTTAGTAACCTTGGACTTCCGGTCCAAGAATTGTCATCAATACTCGTGATACGTAAGATCCTGTTGATCCCTGCATCATCAACTCTCCATCACTTTTTTTAGATATTTTCCCGCTACAGCAATGACAATGCGTACTTAAGTCATTTTCAAGAAGCCTTAGCATCGCTACGGGAAACGGGAGGAGAATTTCTTTTTTGAAATACATTGCTGTATTACTTATGATGAACAGTTAAAAACCCTTAGAAATCAAAAAATTGCCAATTGTTTGCTAAACATGCAATTTTTTTTTATTTCTGTCAAGCAGACTCCAACTTGACTTCCGGTTATGCTTTGAAAGTCCTTCAACCGTTAAAATACCAATATTTACAAAATTGAAAATATCCATACTTTTAGATAAGAAATTCTTTACTATAATATAATCATTTCCCCCAAAAGTAGGATGTTGCGTTTCTTTTGCGTGTCAGTATATGGTGACGTCTCTATGAAGAAGGATATGCAGTCAGCGTTTGACTCAATGATAAATTGTATTTGTTGACAAGGTCATTGTATCGACCATAGAATTTACGAAATGATGATTTTAAACAAGACTATTGATATTTTTGTTTCATTAACTTGCTTGTCAATAATTTACCTCGTTTTAGAAATTGTTCATACGTATAGCATGCTCTTGCGTATCGAATCAACCGAGATATATACACCACGTATACAGGTGATGATGGTACATGCATATTGCTGCATTTTTCAAGTAAAATATCCAAGCGTAAAACAAATGTGTCAGACTCTGTGGTATTTTTTATCTCAAGCTCACCAGGATATATCGTTTCGACCTGAAGTGGCAATCTGAAGAATGAAAAAAGTATCAACTGACAAAGAACTGGACACCAAAAGTTCCACTCTCAAATCAAAGTAATCTAAAAGGCAGAGCATCTGAAGAATGAGGACAGATAAAGAAACAAAAAAGATACTAATCTTAATCTTATGATGTAGCAGTTGAACATAAATGGGCTTTAATTAGACATCAATTATCTTGAGTAGCTTCTATATTGCACAAATGTGATGCTTTATTTACTAAACCTTCATTGACACAATATAATGTAAGATAAGAAAAATATACCTAGTGTTATATTTTTGACGGTATATGTATTTTTTGCTGATGCTTGATTATAGATTAAAACTGTTATATTTTATTTAAATTGTTTGAACATTGATTGGCTTACATGTATGCTTAAGTTTGACTTAAATAATTAGTGCATAGACATTTATTGTGGAAAAAAGACAATCAAGGGAAAACTGAAAGAGCTTTGCTGGCAGTGAGTTGCAAATTTTGATACCCAAGCAAGAAAAAGGGGATATTCCTCCTTTTGTTGTTGCTTGTGTGCGAGTGAGGTTTCTCTGTCAGTGGCTTAGTTTGTCGTAGATGTAAGAAATAGTCTTAACAGGTGAGGTAACGATAAAATAGGTAAAATAGGGTCATTGGTGATTTTAATGAATATCCTATCGCAAGAATAGGAAATTAATTTGTTTTCTTAAATTTGATGTAAGGAGTTTAACACTAGAATTGTTCGCATTTGGATTAAAGAATAAGGCTAAAAAAATTGTAGCATACACTTGTAAATATTTTTATACAGAACATATATACTGTACATGTTTCAGAACTTATTCTTGAAATTTTATGGAAAAGACTAGAGGATTATTGACTGAAATATATCATTATCAATAGGTCTTGCATTCCAATGTAATATTGATTTTAGCAGCTTATGTCACGTTTCAATTAACAAGCAATAAATCTGATGATGTAGCAATTGAACAGAAATGAGCTATTAGAGATAAATTATCAGCTGCCTCTGTTTTATGTAATTGTGATGCTTTTCCTTTAATTTGAACTAATACATGTATAACCAAATGATAAGAAAGGTATTATATTTTCTTCCACTTGTATTTTTCACAGTCAACATAAAGTGTTTACTGTATTCGAATAAAGAATAAGAAGCTGCCATATTTATTATTGTTTGCAGTTGTCTGGCTTATTGTTAAGAACATGCGCAGATACATTTTTAAACTTCGATTGATTTTTAAGTTTAACTTTAATAATATAAGCATGGACATTTACTGTGAAAAAACGTAGGAGACAACGAAATTAAAGAGTAGTCGGAAAGAGCTTTCCTGTCAGCACGTTGAAGATCTTGATACCCAAGGAAGAGAACAGTGGTGTCCCTGACCGATTCTGTTGCTGCTGCTTGTTTGCTAGTGGGGCTTCTCAGTCAGTAGCTTAATTTGTCTGGGATAATCATTTAAGAAATAGACTACAGGGTTGTTTCATGTCTGAAAAAGATATTGGAAAATTTTTTTTCTTTCATTAAGTGTATGAGTTAATTTTTCGTGGGAAATTGTCAGTGATTGTGAAAAGTTACATATATACAGACTTAATGAATGGGATTACACCTATTTTTGATTTAGGAAATCAATGTAGTAATACTATTCTTAGCAAGGTGAGTTTTCATTTGTTAACGTGAGTTCTTTTAATGATTGTTATTTTTATGGTTCATTAAAATGTTTATCACTAAGTAAAGCATACATCTATTTCCCTTATATCCCCTTGATGTTACCTCTCCCTTTTTTTAGTCACTAAATTTGAATCTGTGCTGAACAGATTTCTGAAGGATTTTGTAAATAAAATATTTCTCTGAGTCACAAGTCAAAGTCCAAAGGAACAAGAATTCTAATCAAGTGTACATATACATGTTCTGATGCATGATAATTTGTGCAGACACCAGATCTTCTTTTTGTACTTTCTAGGCATAGACTAAAAAAATATTAACTGGAAAGTGTATTTTTTTTTGTTTCGATTTTGAATTCCAATCTGAAATTGCATTTAATATAGAACATATACAAGGGTTGTCCCAGAAAAACGCGAACTTTTTTAATATTGCAAATACTTTTCAACCAAAACAAATAATTTTTTCATGCTGTTGGAAATCATCTTTTCGATATATTGACAAAATATTATACGAGGCCTGTGATGTTATATGCATATAAAACAATATTTGAATGATGTTAAATATCGGTTGTCGGCGTACATTTTTTGATTTTACAAATAGAATTGCCAATGAACTTTTTGTTGTCATCAGGCTGTACGGCAGTATATTGTCAAAACTTTTACCTACATTAATACTCAATAATTCAGTGTACTTGTGTTTGAAATGTCATTTATTTGGCATCATGAATAACCAACATACATGACGATATACGCTAAAGCGATTTTGAATTAGACTTAGAATCAAAAATGGTAACGTGGAGTACCAAACTATCAAGCAACAATACGTTGACCGGGATATGACTTCTCTATATGAAGAAAAGAGTAGCAAACGTGGCTTGAGGTTGACTTGACTGGTTTTACGATAAAAGAGAAAATACCACTTAAATATATCAAATCGAAGTGAAAATACAAAAGAGTGGGACGTCACAGGCCTACATGAAATCCGCTGTTTAATAATTCGATCGGGTAGGTTTGTTATCGGGATTGTGGAATAGTCTATTTAAAAAATTAATTTAACTACAGCCTTTAAGTACTGCTGGTATTTAAGATTTATAACTTGGTTATGAAAACTAATTAGAAACGTTGTCGAATGTTTGCCCAAATAAATATTCATTGAGGCAGTTTCCAGAACAAATTCAAAAACACTCACTATGAGATATATTTTGACGTCGTAAGTGTTGCACCGACAGCTGATTTATTAGATTTGTTTATCTGAGAAGAAAATTTTATTAAAGAGATATTTCACTGAGAGGCACTATTCAAAAAACGTTGATCATGATGTGTTGCACATGTCTACCTGTTTTGTTTATTTACAATCTTAAAAATGTAACAGAAAAGGGTGTTGAGTGTACTGAATGTACTACAATTCCTCTAGATTTTCATACTCGATAATTGGCTGTTTGCCTTGCAACGTTTGTGTTATATATGGGTTTGCCGCTGCTAATATAGTAAATGCATCAGCCATTTTGTTTATACCAGTGGCAACAGTTTCCATTGTGCTTTGAATTGTTTTCAATGCACTAAAGATGTTTTTTTTTAATCTGATGATGTTTCATCATCAAAAAGCCCCAGTAGGCCATCCTCATCAGGACCAGTAGCTATGATACTAATTTACAAAGTTAATCCTTTGTTCACTAAAATCGCAGGAAAGTCAAAGATAACGGTAATATCCTTTAAAGATAACGCATCCACACTGAAGCAGAGCTGAAAACGCACTAAGGTCTTATAAGCTTGCGCTATTTCGATTCATGTGGTTCTGGAATGACCTTGACAGTAATGAAGTATAATTGGCTGTTTGCCTTGCAATGTTTGTGTTATATGAATGAAATCCCTTATATACGAGGGTTGTCCGGTAAAATCGTGGACAAGTTGTCTTGTTTGAAAATAATCATCACTGAATTCTGAAAATTTCACCACTCTTTAGTACGTATATTATGAATATACAGAGCAAATTTCAAATAGATATATGCATAAATAAACAAACTGTGAGATTTTATATTATTATGTTGTATCGCCCTAGGGCGCACGGATGATAAAGTCAAAGTGTCCAAAACAGCGTCACGTTTTATCTTGGCTAAAAATAAAGTTGGATAAATCCCACTTAAATTTAGAAATTCCATTGATTCATATACCGGTACTTGAGTCTCAATAAGCAGTTGAGGAACCAATTTAGCGCACAGAGACGATCTTCTGAAGATTTATAAGCAAGTTACTGACAGTATTCGCGCCATCATTCAACTAAGAGAGAATCTTATATCGACTGTCGACATTGACAGCATCTTTCTCTATTACAGTAGCATTTGTCCGTATGTTTTGTACTACCTGGGGACTCGATCAAAAATACATCGCTAAGAAAACTTCCATTACATTTATATACGGCGCGTCGACTTACCCAAATGGACCCAAATGGAAACAA